GGGGGAGGGGGAAGAAAAAGAGCAATATTGTTGTTGTTAGATATCAATCTTGGGTGAGCAGGCGAGAGAAAGACGTTTATGCTCCATGCTAAACCAGCGCAACCAACTAGCTTTCGTGTTTGAAGGCAAACAATAAGAATATATAAAGGGTCTTTGATGCGCGCGTGTATATATATATATATATAAGCCCTTAGCGAAATGTCGTTCGCTTTTTTATCCTTTAAAAATTAAATTCATATTGGATATAATTGTAATTAAAACTATTTTCCTAATATTAGGAATTCAAAATCAGCTAAAATCTTTATCGTTAAATCATTCATTATTTGAATTACATAAAAAGTCCTAATATTTAGGACACTAAAATTAATTAAAATTTTACTTTAGAAGGATAGTTTCTTTTTCAAGAAAACTCTGTGTTTCTTGTCATTGAGTTTTAATCTACGAGGTCAATTTGGCCTCTATATTTACTTTCACACCAAATTATTTGTAATTCTTAAGTTTCAATCCATAAGTATTTACATATTTAAAAACTTGGTTATTAAATTATAGGGATAATTTTTAGAGATACTCTCACTTATATTTTCTTAAACTTTTATTTTAGAACTCAAATATAATTTTTAATATAATATTTGTGTATTTTTTTTTAATTTTCTGTTTCATTAAGTTGGGGTACACGTGCAACTTGGTTAACAAGTTGTTTAATCTATATCCATACTATATTAAAAGCATGAAGGTACTTAGTAAAATATCGTTCGCTTTCTACCCTCTAAAAATATCTTTTACATTTGACACAATTGTAACCTAAGTTACTTCCCTAATATTTAGGATAGTTTTAAAACTCCATATCTTTTAAGACATGATAATTGCTTCTGTTGTCTAAATAAAGATTATATTTTCCCTCTTTTAATTTTGATACAAAATTATAAAGGTCCTGAGTCTATATGAATGGATATTATGTACCTTGGTTACAAAAGACAAATTTTATCACCATATAAAAAATAGACGGCTTAACAATCCAATACGTTGAAGAAGGGACGTCTTTTCTCTCTGAAGGCGCACGTTAAGCAGGATCGCTAACGTACGCCAACAACCATGAACATCCATCAGCGACGAACTTCGATGATGAAGAACTCTACAGAACAAATTGAGGAATTGATTAGTTGATTGGTTACACCAGAATCGGGAATTGAACAACAACTAGGTCCTCGACAACTTATCAGTTGGATGCCGGGGATGGGAAGTGCGCCGACAATCATGCAAACGGTGGCAATGAATGAATCTCTACCACCGGTGAAAAGAGTTACCACAACTCCACTAGAAGACTCAATTCCACCGAAATTAGGAATTACAACTGCAACGTGTAAATTGACTTACTCAGCAGGACCAGCTAGATCTATGGAGAGATAGTCAAAGGAAATCGAATGATGGAGCAAGGCATGCAATTGAAATTCTATCCACTGGTGATTAAGGATGGAGTAAAGCTGGTTAAATTGAACCTAAATGAAGTGGAGCAGCAATGTCAGCAATGGAAAAATGCCCTAATTGGATCTGTAATTGGGGGAAATCCAACATTTAAAGAGATGCTCAAGTTTGTATATGGAGTATGAGCCCAGTGGCTACGCCAAAGGTACTGTTACATGATGATGATTATTTCATCTTTAGATTTGATTCGATAGATGTTAAAACTTGATACTCCAAAATGGCCCTTATACATTCAATAACAGACCCCTAATACTGAAAGAGTGGAATCCAGATTTTAGTATTAAGAATGATTCTATAAGAGTGGTTCCTATATGGGTGATGTTTCCAGGACTACCAGTACAGTTATGGGCTAAGGAAAACTTAGGAAGATTGGCGTGTTATATTGGGAAACCACTGTGTACTGATACGCTTACAGCTCATGTTGACAGAATTTCATATGCTAGAGTCCTCATAGAGGTTGATATCACCCAACCTCTACCAGATGTTCTTCTTGTAATTGTGGCAGAAGGGAAAATCTGGGAGCAAAATGTGGAGTATGAATGGAAGCCTACATTCTGCCAAGATTGTAACCAATTCGGACATATGACTGAGAAGTGTCAACAAAAACAACCCGAGCAGGAACAACAAGGAAAGAAACAGAACAAGAGAAAGAAGAAGGAGAAATGGGAATGGAAGACGAAGGCAGTAGAATTAAAGGATAAAGTTGAAGTAGCCACAACAAAAACTACAAAAGATCCTGAAACTAACAAGCCTGAGGAATCTCCAGCTGCAAATTCAGAGGTGACTCCACCAGAGATTCAAATACAACTGCAGTTATCCAACAAAGGGAAGCAGGTTGTAGTCTATCATGGCTCAAAGAAGAAAGATGGAAAACACATTGATGCACAAGAGATTGCTAGAAGAAATCAGTTTGCTCCTTTAAGGATTCTTGAGAAAGTAATAGCTGAACCAGATGGAATAGAGGACCAATTGGTAGACAAAGGAACCAAGACAAGCAAACCACCCCCACCATGATATTTAGCTCTTGGAATATAAGGGGGCTGAACAACCCTCACAAGAAAAAAGAGTTTAAACTGTTTTTGCTTACTAATAAGATAGATATGGTGGGTATCTTTGAAACCAAAGTAAAACAGTCAAAAGCTAAAATGATTCAGAAGAAGTTTGGCGCAGGGTGGAAGTTTGTAGATAACTACTCAGCAGCACCTAAAGGAAGAATTTGGATTGGGTGGAAGACAGTAAATGTGACAGTCTCAGTAATTCAAGCTTCTAATCAACTCATCCATTGTCATATTCAGGACAGAACTACAAATTTCTACTGTTATGGGACTTTTATCTTTGGATTGCATACCGTTGCTAATAGGAAGCCTATGTGGGATCAACTTAAGGACATATATGCCAAGATAAATGGGCCATGGATCATACTTGGGGATTACAATAGTATACTATCAGTTGGGGACAGAATTATGGAGAACCAGTACATCAACAGGAACTGGTAGACTTCAAACACTGTATTGATAATATTGGAGTAGGGCAAATAACCAAAAGAGGATGTCAATTCTCTAGGAGAAAGAAGAGAGATGCAGAGGACAGGATTTACAATCACATTGATTGGGCATTTGGCAATCTAGATTGGTTCCAGATATATGCAGGAATTGAAGTTGTTTATCTGCTACCAGGAGTCTCAGATCACTCTCCAATTGTGTTAAATACAGAAGTGAACAGGCCAAAAGTCAGAAGACCTTTCAGACTCCTAACAGTACTTCTACAGCAGGAAGGATATAGAGAAGCAGTCAACACAGTTTGGACAAAACAAATTCAGGGGATTGCTATGTTTAGGATATGCAGAAGGTTGAAGATGTTATAAATCCAAACTAAGAACATTCACAAAGAGTACTCTTCCATTGATAAAAAGCTAGAAAACTTAAGGGCAAAGTTGGAGACAATACAAAGGGCACTGAATGATGATCATTTCAATCCAGCACTTATTGAAAAGGAGAAGCTGACTCTTAAGTTGATTGAAAACTGGGATGCAGTTCAGGGAAAGGTACTTGAGCAAAACTCAAGAGCTACTTGGATTGCACAAGGTGATTCAAATTCCAAATACTTTCATGCCTATCTGAAAGCTAGACAAGCAAGGAATAGAATGTCTTGCGTTTACAATGAGCAGAATGATAGAATAACAGAGCTAGAACAGATTCGGCAAGAATTCATTAAGTTTTTCAAGAAGATACTGGGGGAAGCAGCTCATACACTTCCTGGAATAGATATCAACATTGCTAGGGATGGTCCTACATTGACCCTAGCACAACAACAGTCAACGTTGAGTCCAGTGACACAAGAAGAAGTTATGCAGGCAGTAATGGAGTTACCAGATGATAAAGCTCCAGGATTGGATGGCTATCCGGCTAGATTCTATAAGACATTCTGGGCAAGTATAGGGAAGGAAGTGACAGAAGCTATTCAGCAGTTCTTTGAAACAGGCAGGATACTCAAAGAAATAAATTGCACCACTGTCACACTGATTCCTAAGGTGGAACACCTATCTTATGTGAAAGAATTCAGGCCAATTGCATGTTGCTCAACTCTATACAAGATTATTGCTAGGATCATAACAAAGAGACTAAAAGCTGTTGTGGACTATCTTGTAGGACCAGCTCAATCTGCATTCATAGAGGGGAGAAATATCTTAGACAATGTCATACTGGCTCATGAGTTGGTGAAGGGGTATACAAGAAAAACAGTCTCTCCAGGATGCATCATAAAGGTTGGTATTAGGAAAGCTTATGACTCAGTTGAATGGAGTTTCCTAAAACAACTACTGATTGAACTAGGGATTCCTTACAAGATGGTGACTCTGCTAATGGAGTGTGTAACCACAGTAAGCTACTCTCTGTTGATCAATGGTGGTATAACAACTAGATTCCCAGCAAAGAAGGGCCTAAGACAGGGGGATCCTATGTCACCATATCTCTTTGTACTTGTGATGGAGTACCTAAACAGATCATTGAAGCAGCTACAGAGTAACCCAGACTTCAATTACCACCCTAAGTGCTCTAAGCAACACATCACTCACATATGCTTTGCTGACGACCTGCTACTGTGTTGTAGAGCAGATAAGATCTCAATGCAGCTTCTAATGAAATACTTTGATCACTTCTCATCTGTTTCTGGACTTAAAGCTAATATGGAGAAGAGCTCCTTGTATATTGCTGGTGTCACTACTGAGTTCAGACAACACATCCTAGATGAACTCCATTTCTCTCTTAGAAGCTTGCCTTTCAAATACCTAGGAGTTCATTTGTCTGCCACAAAATTGACTATCAACCAATGTATGCCTTTAGTGGAAAAAATTGTGGTAAGGGTGAGATGCTGGTCCTCAAAATTCCTATCATATGCAGGAAGACTTCAACTGATAAAGAGTGTATTGTTCGAGATACAAACCTACTCGGCCCAAATCTTTATGCTTCCAAAAAAAGTGCATAAGTTAGTCACAACAGTCTGCAGGAATTTCCTCTGGCATGGATCAAAGGAGAATGTGAACAGAACACAAATTGCTTGGGAAAGAGTTTGTCAACCAAGATCAACTGGTGGGCTAAATATCCTCAACTTCACTTTATGGAATAAAGCAGCAATACTGAAACTATTATGGGCAATATCTCAGTAAAAAAACACTATTGGATCCAGTGGATACAACACCAATACATAAAGGATAAGGACCTAAAAGACATGAAAATACCAGGGCAAGCAAGTTGGGTGGTTAGAAAGATCTTTGAGGCTAGACAATGGGTAGCTCCTAATATGGACAAGTTACAGAAATATGCAACTCAAAGCAAATTCAGCATAAAGAAAGCCTACATGGAGAGCTACCTCAATACCCTAAAGTCACTTGGAAAAGCTTGATCCTAAGTAAAGGTTTGATTCCAAAACATCAATTCACCTTGTGGATGGCCCTTCAGCAAAAACTGGCAACAGTGGATAGAATTCGAAAATGGGGGATTCAAGTGCAAAGTGAGTGTGCTCTCTGCTCAACTAGTTTAGAAGAGACATTCAACCACCTATTCTTTGAGTGCCACTATTCCAAGAGCATTTGGCAGAAGCTACTACTATGGACAGGAAAACAGCGATAAGTGAAGTCATGGAATGAAGAAGTTACAGCACTGGCAAACATGACAAGGAGTAAACATCCCAGAGCTGCCATCTATGCTTTTTTATTTGCAGCCACAGTTTACCATCTTTGGATGGAAAGGAACAGTAGAAGATTCAGACAAGTACAGAAGCCTCACACAGAAATACTGAAAGATATAGCCTTGCAATTACATATTGTAGGACAAAGGTATTCCAATTGGCAGAATGAATTAGATAGATTGATAGGATACCCAAGCTAGAAGCTATTAGTCTTATGTTTCTATAACTGATACCCTTCCTAGAAGGTGAGTAGCTATAGAACCTAGTACTGAAAGCAGATAGTTCAGAAGAGTTTTCATAGTTTATTTTTGTAAGATCCTGTCTCTATAGTCCAATGAGCAAGTGTGCTTGTAAATATTATACTTGGTTGAAATAAAAAAAATTCCTTTTGACCTTAAAAAAAATAGACATACAGATATTACAAGAAAGACTCAACCCGAGAAAAAAATATCAGAACATGTTTTAAAACTTTAATATCTTTTTTTATACTATAAAAAACAGCTTTAATTTATTTCCTACATAAAATATTTATTTTAGAATCTTGACAAATTAAATCAAATTTCATTTATTATTCTTCATAGAAATGGAAAACTGATTATGCTTATAATCTATAGTCATAAAAAACATTGTTTACTAAACCTTCCGCTTAATTAGAAAAATCAATCGTAAATATATAATTTTCTACCATATACGACGTATTTTCTATATTGAGCAGGTTTTTAAACTTTTAATCTCTTTTGTTTTAAGAAGTAGCTTACCTTCATTTTTCTACATAAAATGTTTGTGTTAGAATGATGGTAAATTAATTGTAAAAAAGTTACTATTAATTTTAAAGCTTCATTATTTTTTTGTATTCGTTTTTTGATAATTAATAAAAAATATTATTATTTCCTTGTAGGGTGATCTTAGGAATGCACTAGATCTCCTTTTTAAAAATTTAAGTTATTATTTAATTTTCCAAGCTTTTAACATTTTAAGAAAAACAATAAGTATTTAATTAATATGATAGGATGAAGATCTAAGAAAATTTATTTTAAGAACAACTTTCTCAAGACTGGCCTAATTAGGTGACAAGAGTTTTATGAAAAATTACATTATTTAATAGATTAGAATTTCAAGAAATATATATTTGGGGTTGTAGCGACGCATCTACTGAATAAATAATCAGGCAAAACATTTATATCTAGCAGTTAAAGTTTAAAATATTTTATTGAAATAACCATTTAACAAATTTTGATGTAATATAATACTGTCATTGGTTAAATTGATAGTCGAAATTTGTATTACTTGTATTCCAAAGAGATGTTATGCGAGATCCAACAACATAACATATTTATATCTTATTTAATAATATATTATAACTACAACTATTATATAACTAATTCAACTAAATTCATCATCTTTGTATATCAAGAAGAGATTGTTTCAATGAACGCAATAATTTATTTTTCTTGTATATATTTTATGCCGATTAACACGAAATATACGTGCAACGCACGTACATTTAAGCTAGTGTGTGTATATATATATATATATTGCCGAGGCTAACGGATTTCGATGAACCCTCTACTGTCAACATAGGTCGCCTATAATTATCCGGTATGGGTAGAGCGATCCCGTGATTAGCTTCTATCGAATGGTTAAACTTGGCAATCAATTGTCTTTAACCTAATAGAGGCAAAGCTCTTATTACTCTGGCCATGAAGGAAGCATCTGAAGACGAGCTTTCATATCAAGAAAAGGATCAATTAAATCACAGCATCGACAAACCTAAAGAAACTATGAACAATCCTCCCACTAACAAGGTAAGCTTTCGTGACACCCTCTCC